ATATCGATTCACATCATTAACTTATATTAGTTGAAACGTCTAATTACTCGTCCATCTGTTTTAATAATATATGCATGGAATTATTTCCCGATTGTCCACGGTATTATGTTGTCTCAAAACGAACCATGTCCATGGCGGCCTGTTTTCCAACTGAGGTTCGCGATATGGAGTTTTCAGGCTGGGTGATACGAATCTACACGGACTACAAGCCGGAGATCCCCGAGCAAAGGAAATGGATGTGCGAGATCCAATGCAACCACTCCCACGTGGACTTCTGCCTCGCGGACAGACTTCCTCTAGTGGGAGATGTCGCCAGCGCCCAGGAAGATGGAATGACATGGAGGTTCCTGCCTGGGATGGATCCTCTGGTGGACGTTTTCCTATCTAGGTGAGATGTGTGCATATTCTATATGAGGCTCTGGCCTCCACAGCCTTTGATAAAACTATAATGCATTCAATAGGAAAGAAGGATTTCGGAAATATATATATATTTTTGTCGCACAGCACCATCGCATAGACTAAGAGTGAAAAATCTATGTTATAAGGTGATGTTCATTCCGATCTGCCTAAGAACTCGCAATAACATGCAAGTAAAAACTGGATCTCCAGTTTCCATTTTGTCTGCTTACTCCTAGCACTCAGAAACACTGGAAAAGCCATTTCACCTTAATCTCATCTTCGGCGCGATTGCCAATAATTCCCAGTGGCTGCCTTTACTTTGCGCAGGGACACGGACGCTCTCGTCATCGATCGCGAACGCGAGGCAGTTCGCGAATGGCTGGATTCCGACTCCATGATCCACGTCATGCGGGATCATCCTAATCACTGGGAACACATTCTCGGCGGTAAAACCTCTCGCAGTCCATGAGCATACCTCGCCTCGCCTCCAACCCGAAACCGATGATCCTTTCAGGCATGTGGGGATCGAAGACGTTCATGGACCGTTCCCTGATGGGAAACCTGACGACTGAGATGCTGTGGAAGACTCGGCTGAAGCACGGGCGAGCCTACGACCAGGCGGTTCTCCGGAAGGTCCTCTGGCCGGCGACGAATCGCCGAATGGTAAGACAAAAGATGAACTATCCATCCGACGCTTTTTCGGGCAGACTAATCGCGTTAGATCGCGTTCCTATACGTGAATAGAAAGCAGCAAGAGCATTACCGACACGCTTTTCCCCATTCTCTCGCCGATACCCTCGTTCCCTCGTTTCTAACCATTTTTTTTTTCTCCAACGCAAACTCTCCTACATTTTGTCTTTCGCAGTATGGCACACGGCTAATGGTTTAATCACATCCATTCAATATGGTTCTATTTGATGATTAGGCACGTATTGAAAAGGACTCGCTGAAATATTCAGCTCCCCCTCCGGGTTTTAAAATTGAAAATTTCAATTCGGGCTTCTCCGCAAATACTTCAACGCAATAGGAAGGAATCGCGCGTAAGAACCTTTTCACAAAATTGTGTCAATTTTCATATTCGAAAAAATTCCGGCTTTGCCACATCCTCATCCAACTTACAGGTAAGCGACGGACTTCGTGCCAGCTGTCGACCCGATCGCCTGAGAGGCGATCCGTGCCGGCAAGCTCGAAGGTGGGAAAGATTTTTGAGCGAGGAATTGAGCCTATCCAATTTTTCAAGTTGTCTTTCAGAGGTTTCGATACCGTAAGAACTAGCAAACGACGTTGGAATCTATTTCATCTCGATACTAAATTGAGTTTTTTTTTATGCACTTGCGATGGCGGGGTGTTCAAGGCGCTGATGCCCGCTCGTGATTATTTTTCGATTCCTGATCTATCGGGCACTCATTCTGTATTTCCATTATTGTTCTGCAGGATGCCGAAATGTCGATGATCGAGTGGACCTTAGAGAAAAAAAAAGGTCGACCACGTGCTGTCGATGAAGACGTGCTTCGGGCTTATGGTTCCAGGGCTTATGGCCGGCAAGGGCTGCGCAGCGCTTTTCCCCCTAAAGCAGTCGATCGGGCCGAGAACGGAAGACGCATCAAAAAGCCTTGGAAAGTGTCCCGTCGCGTGCCGGCCGAAGAACCATCAGGACTGGGAATACTGTTGACATCCGATCGCGGCTGCTCCTTCCTCCCGTCCGCCTGGCCTTCCAGCAGATTCAATCGGTGTCTTCTGAGATTCGGTGCCGGTTGGGTGCCGTTTGGGTGCCGTTTGGGTGCCGTTTGGGTGCCGTTTGGGTGCCGGTTGGGTGCCGGTTGGGTGCCGTTTGGGTGCCGGTTGGGTGGTTGGGTGCCGGTTGGGTGGTTGGGTGCTGGTTGGGTGCCGGACATTCTGGGGCCCTGATGTAGTGAATCGCCGTCTGGAAATCGTTTTCTGTGTGCCGTAATGCCTTAACCATGATGTCATTAAAAGCAGAAATGATTTTAAAGCAAGATTTAAATTTTTTCGAGGACTCTACCTCGACACCGAGGAGATTGGAGGAGAATGAGGAGGAAATTAAACAGGCAACTCCTCCTGTTCGTTGACTTGAGGATACTTTAATGAACTCGCCGAATGCGAAATCCGTCCAATGACGATTTCCCGGCTTTCAATTCACCGAAGGACCAATTCGAAAGAAAGATTGCGATTGATGCTTGCCGGGCACGGGGATTTCGTATTTCCCAAATGCAGGAACGGTTTTGCATAATATTGACCGATGAATGATTGACGTATTTGTTTTTCAAGATGAGGTGATTACGGAAAGTCACTCAAATTTAGTGAAAATTAAATTTGATCTGTTCGTCGTCCATACTCCGTGCGAAAAAAATGTTGAAACATTTTTCAATTTGTTGCTATTCGTAATTGGTTCGGACTATACCTGTGCAGTTTTGAGAGCTGAGTAATGCATGAAATGAGCACTTTCATGTTAAGTCATGCCGAATTCAAGTGAGGCCGTTTCCAGAGAGAGCAGACGATACAGAGCTTGGGTTTCGACAGACTTCGCATGCCCATTTATGCCGTTGGGTCCTTTTAGCACCTCTTCAAAGTGTGAAGCAAGTAAGAAAAATGTCGAGCACACGTCATGGCAGCCGTCATGTGTGAGGCACACAACTGAATTTTGAGGCATGCGCACGTTTAGTTCTGGTCGCACTGCTTCTGCGCTGCCACGCTCTCAATCCCCAAATGCCCAAATGAAGTGCACAACAATATTCTCATCCAATTACGAGTTGCTACAAGTCGAAAAATGTTGCAAAAGTTAGGGTCAGTGTGTCTTAAAAGTGAGATTCACCTCGCATGAACATGCAAGTTATCGGGAAATGCAGTACCGTGTGTCCAGAAACAACCGCGTTCGATCTGTCGTTCCCTTGACATTCATCCTGGGGAATTGGGAATTGTTGCCCAGACTCTGAAGGGTTCAACACCTGCCGATATCACATTCTTGGACGTGAAACATATGATTTTCTCATTTTTCGAGGAAACTTTAGTGAGTGCATCAGCATTCAAGAGCTTCTCCTCCCGGTTGCTGTGCGTTACAGAAGGTGTGTTGTAGATCACAGTGGGAAATACTCTTATTTGGGCTGGACGGTGCGCTCCACGTAGCAAGCCGCTTTCAAACCCAATTCGTTGAGGTGCCACGTAGAATCATAGGTTCAATGAGCTTTCGCAAATTACAACGGGTTGCCAACGGGTCAGTGTTGGGTTGCCGTTCCGGTTCTAGGATTGAACCTAATTCTTTTTCTTAGCCTTTGTTGACACGATGCTCCATTCGCATGATCGGGTGCCAAGGATAACCACAGGTCAAATTAGACCGGGAGGCATACATATGACATAAGGTGTGTTCAAAGAGGTTTTTGGACGTCCAATGTAAACGGATGAACACCTTTTGGGCCCTTAGTGAAGGTACCGTTTAATCACAAAACATGCTGCATTTCAAGGACATTTGTTGAATTGTTTAAAGATTTTATTTTCTCAAGCATATCTTTGATATCCATTTGTTGATGGCTCGAACCAAAGGTTCACACAATCGAAGCTGGATGACGCCGAAGTTGTCGTTATAGTGGGTCAATTCCTGAATTATTCCCTGATACCTTCCTCACGGCAGCCGGTCTTTCCCCACGTAAACCAGAGGATATAAACCAGAGCATATTACTTGAATTCTTAAAAAGTCGGTCTTTATAGGCAACCCAGTCCGAGGAGCCTCCAGAAAACAAAAAAGTTGAATTAAGGATGGTTCAATTGCCAGGGTGACCTCATGTCACCTTGACATGTATCATATATGTTTCCGTAGTATGACTGTATCACAGCACGTTTCCTCAATAGACCATCCCATAAAAGGGAAGATAGTACTTCCAACCATACTAATTGGCTACGTAATGGCCTCTGACCCCCATGCCACGAGAGCAGGGCTTAACTCAGACTGAATGTTACTTTAGTGATGAAAAGAACGCATCCAAGACGTTAATCGCATATTAGATGAATCCTGAAAAAGAAAGTCCATTGAACCCTTTTCTTGGAAACCACGTCCTTGATGAATTCGCGTCCTTCAGAGGACGCACAATTTCATCTTTTTTTTCCGGACATTTAAGCAGCCAATAGAACGTTCCCAATGACGTCCATGGAACCCTGGCAATAACACGAATGATGAGTCCCTTGCACACGTTCGGGTGCTTCTTGGGTGGTTCACTCTGAAGATCATGGTGACTCCTTTCACGAGCAATTCCAAGAGCAATTCGTTTCCTCCTGTTTGCAGCAAGTATACCTGCTACTAGTGCTAGATTTCTGGTTTTGAGGTATTGAACATTACCTACCCTAATTTTTAGTATTAAAAAATATGTTTTTTAGATAGCATTCCAAGTTTTTACCATAATTTGCAAGCCTCTAATCTATATTACTATATTTTACAATCACTCACAAAACATTTCCAGAAAACCTGCCTCCTTTAAAGCGAGCCACACTGAAAATGACACGATTGTCAGATCTATCAACGGTATGATTTAAATTAAGCTCGTACCATCGTTCGCTTTTAGAACCGAACAGCATTAACACCAGGAGACGCAATGACTCGATATCATTTGACATCCCCGAAGGAAGGCAATCTGAATGAAGATGACACACGAGGCCCATCATCTGCGGTAATGAAACCCAGATTCCCATGTTTTCCCTCGCCTTATCTCGCATGCTCACTGGATCTGGCGCGTATCGCGCAGATAAGCGAGCGCCATTGTGTCCTGCACGTTTCCAAAAGAGGAAGGAGCCTCCCGTGCGACGGAAACATGTCGGCGTTTCGATTCGCTGTGATCCTTCTCTTCTGGACCTGCTATGTGGTCACCATCGTGCTCAATGCCTTATCTAACTCGGGTGAGTTCCAGATCATATTCGAGACGTTTCGCCGGAGCGAGTCACTTTTGAGGGAGTCTCCTTAGGTTCGCCCCTATTCCTCTCCCACTAAACTTCCATTTTTTTTAAGGAATTCATTTCGAATAAAAATTATTGGGCAAGTCAAGTAGCGTAGTTCGTCGTAACATAATTAATGCATGGTGTTGGTAAATTTCGATAAGGTTTAACATGTGAGACTGGCATATGTCGACTCGTCTGCATCTGAAATGGCCGCTGCGAAACGCAGTTCCCACAACTCTACATCTCAGTCGGGGCATGAAAAGGATTAAACTGACAAGTGCCCAAGCAGCATTTTTATGTCAACAAGATATCAATTTAAAAGAAAGTCAATTTCTTGCAATTGTCATACAAATGATATCACTTTCATGGAAAATTTGCATTCCTGTATTTACATCTCATGAGGGGATGTGTATTTCACATAAACTATACATGACTTCACCTGATGTAAAGTATCAATACATGACATGACATTCGTGCAAAATCAACACAACAACTTCCACATGAAATTTTAGCTGTCTCGACAGTCTCTAGTACAAAGAACCCTCACTAGATGGAATCCATGTTCCCTGAACCCAACAAATGCGATTAAGTACCTGCTTTCCTGAAATAGTATCAGGGCTTTCTCCTCTCTTTCAACCACAGAAATATCAAATTATTATCGCAATATACGACTCATGGAATTATTAACCCCTTGACCACGATCGACCCTTGATCGACCGAGCCAGCCCAGCATCCCAACGGTATTATCCAGCCTCAGCTGAGTCCCACGACGTAAATATACGTCAAACGTAGGAAAACAGAGAAACAGGTATGAAGAACGAAAAACAGGTAATTTGGTAGGATGGATGGAATCAACGCAATTACAATAGTAAAGTTGCAATACTGTGATTTTGAATAGGACTAGCCATCAAGTCCTCAAGTGCGACATGGCTTGAAACAAGACATGCAGAGGGGCACATTGCTTTGTTCGCAGGTGTATCTTGCTTATTTCCGCTTCGAGCGCAAAGCGCAGGCCTTTTGCTTGCAGCCTTCTTCTTTTCCGTTGGCGGAATGATCAGTGGGAGATAAGAGACTTTAGCCGGACTCGGGTTGATAAAGGGACATGAGCATTTCCGGTGCGTCGGAAGCGTTGCGTTCCCGATCATCTCCTCTGTTAGATCCTTCCTAATGTCCAATTTCTCTTTCTCATTTCCCAGTTCACAGGATATGAGATATGCGCATTTTGGAGCAAACAACTTTTCATTACCAAGAAAAAAAAAACAGATTTTTATCATAGCTCTACAACTTTCAAAATCGAGCTAATAAATCGCGTATATATAGGTCATACATAGGAAAGGGGTTAAATGTTGATGTTAAGTATGGGAATAAGGGAGTGTACCGGAATAATAAAGGAGCAAATGCAGGACTTCTCTACTTTCAAGCCTCCATCTCCTATGCAGCGTATTGCCTTTAAGTTTTGCTCATGCTCTCAGGGTTCCGACATAGAGAGCATAACCAGAGGCGACACTCCGAGAGGTACGGGGGGATCGAGGTATTGCAGAGGCATCTGGTGGCATGTTATCAACAACACTTCCTTGAGGCGTACTTCGTGGCAGCGGAATCAGGGATCGACTCATCCGGGGATTCGACCCAAAGGGTCATCCATCAACGTAACACGCGTGTCTCTTTGAGTCCGCTGCTCGGCCATGTTGCTGTTGATGTCCGCCCTTTAGGTTTAGGATCGACAGCGACATCCATATTCTGGCCCTGTAGATGAATGGGATTCGAGGGGGATGTCGCCTCTAGTTATACTCTCTATGGTTTCGAGCTGGGTGCAGAAGAGTGGAGCAGCAGGTATCTTGGGTACTTTTAAGGAAGAGTACTTGTGTATTCTTTCGAGTATTCAAGGTTTTCCTTGAAAGCTGATGGTTTACTTATAAAAATTAAAATAGATTTTACATAATATTGATCCAGACAAGTTGCTTGGGATGTCAATTGATGACGGAAATGTCAATTTCATGTAGATTTTCGTCAATTTCACATCACCGTTTGCGTATCCCACAGGTGTGATACGCGATGCAGGTTATGCAAACATGTTGACAATATATTGATGAAGATTTGCATAAAATATTTTAAAAAGGACAAAAAATGTGCATAAAAGTTGCATAATATTGACTGAAAATGCTGCTTGGGTGAACACAGAATTCCAGTCTTTCTCTCGTGTGCCTCAGAATTTCCCATAAAATCTATGAAAGTCCTGATTTCCCACATATTCCCTGAAAACGAAACGATTCACTTTCAACGGGAATTCACCTTCGAGCTTGACCAAGTGAAGACTAGTTATTTGAAGAGCGCCGTGGAACAACCCCTAAAAGCTAGGATTTTTTTCCCGATGCCAAGTAGAATTGCTTAGCAGAACAAGATTTTGCAATTGATCTCACGATTGGCACAAGGGGGGTTAGGCACTATATTTGGTGTTTCATAACCAATATATAATTCTAGCGGGTTTGCTTGCCCTTCGGGCAAACAAACTCGCTATAGTCACGCCTTCGGCGCTGCATTACCTTGGATAGTGATTTTTTCATTTATTATTTGGAAATGGCAAACACGTATTTAAAGTACGTCCCAATTGAGACACGTGACTTATGGGGACGAAAGTCTTGATTATTATCAAAATCATTACTTCTATGATTTTTACTGTGCCTAAATTGAAATCTTTTCTTTTCTTTTTATAAGGGTGGAGAATACATTTTGAAATACTTCCCTACTATAATCTACACAAAGGAAACATAATTTAAAGTAGGACTTTTCCAGTACTCAGCCATCAAACAGGTACTTTTGAGGGAACTTTAAATTTTCCGTCTCTGTTTTGTTGGATGAAAAAAAATTCAGGAAAATCGGACAATAAAAGTACTCGGATGGGTTTTAACGGAAATATTTTTTTCTTTCGAAAGGTTGGCTGAGGGAACTCCATGCCATCCAGTTTCAGCCTTATACCTTTCCCCTTTTTGCTGGCAGAAAAAAAGAAAGAATTTGGAAAAGTGACCCACCCACAAGCTGTGCTCCGGGGAGACGCACAACAAAAGTTGAATTTCTCCTTCCATCAACATCACGTCCGTTATGCGTGCAACACCTGCTACTTTTCTATTTTTGCCCGATTCGGTAGGATATGAAAAATTATTTGAAAACGTTAGCAGGTTACGTCAGCGGTCACGTTCTTGCCAAGTTTCAGCTTTCCATGTGTCTCCGTTTGCTTGAAGCAAAGAGAACTATTTGAAAATATGTTCCCCGAAAAGGTGTGCCCCTATGGCATGTACCACCAAAGTAGAATTTTTCCTTAACTCAGCATGCGAATAGCTATTTATGTCAGTCAGTCAGCTACACACGATCGTCTATATATGATCAAAGGAGAATTTTTTTCTCATCCTATCTATCCATTAGGTATTTATTTGCGAAGTTTAAGCTTTGTTGCGCCCTCTGTTTTGTTGGATCAGAAAATTGGGAAAATACGCCTTTTGCAATATATATGCCCTGAGCCGTTTTAACCTAAAAGTACATTTTTTTGCTTACCGAAATCCATCCTCAGTGAACTACATGCCCACAAAGTTTCAATAATATATGTTTGCCCTTTTCGCTGGTGAAAAAACATGTTTGGAAAAGCTGACATACCGAAAATCTATGTCCAGAGGGGATGCATCATGAAAGTTGAAAACTCCCTCAAATCAATAATATCATGTCACTTATACGTCTACCAAGTTTCACCTTTTGATTTCTGTTAAATTCGTCACAATTTTTTTCCGAAATATCGCCCCTCGAAAAATTTCCCCCAGGATGGAGACTTAACATTTTTAATTAACTCCTTGTCTTAGTAGTCACATTCATGCAAAGTTCCAGCTTTCCATGTTAACCAGTTTAACTGATGCAAAAAATAAGTTGAAAACATCTCCCTTTGAAATTTGTGCCCCCAGCGCATTTACTTCCAAAGTCTGAATTTTTCTGCAGCATCCCAATAAGTAGGTATGTACTAAGTTTCATCTTTCTACACTAGCTCAATACGCCAGGACAAAAAAAAATACTTGAAAACGTGGGCCCCAAAAAATATCTCCCTAAGGCATGGATCTAAAATTTTGCCTTATTCCTGAACTTATCGTCTCTGTAGGCACGTCCATACCAGGTTTCAGCTTTCCATGTCTCTCCGTTTTACTCAAGCAAAAATAATGTTATGGATGGGGAATGAGTAACGGGACATGGAAGGTAAATGAAGTGAATAGAAAGCCACGGATTGCTCAAGAATTGAACCCTTACCTTCTGAATGACGGTTAGATATGCAACTACTACACCACAGAAACTGCATCATCCACTCGACTCTGAATACCATAATCACCCGTCACAATCTATTAATACATTAAAAAAAACGTTTCCGCCCAAAATTTGTACCCCCAGGCATGTACCTCCAAAGTCTGATTTTTTCTGAACTCTGTATCCCAAAAGGTACATGTGTACCAAGTTTCAGATTTCTAACCTTTCTAGAACATGGCTAGAATTAGCGTCAGCCAGTCAGTCAGTCAGTCAGTCACGATCGTCTATATATATTTCAATCGCTGTTGCTGATTTTCCGCGAGATGATTTGAAAGGTGAAAATGCTCGATGGCATGAAATGATTTCTGTCAACTGTGCCTTATTCCTTTATCCTTAATCCTTATTGCAGGCAAGCCATTTCAAAAATCCCCATCAGAAGTGTCAAACAAATACAGGACATGGCTGACACCGGCGGGATGGACGTTTACCATCTGGGGCGTCATCTACGTCTGGCTCGGCCTCATCCTCGTCTACGGTACGCGAATGAAAGGCGACAGGGTGAACAAGGATGTATCCGCATCTGATTTGAGATTTATTCTTAGTTTTGTCGCTCTTATGGAGGAAGAATGGACCGGTGCGGATGTTCGAAACGTCACCCATCGCTGATCCCCTCCCTTTGCTGTTCCTCTGCCTCAACTTGATATTGAATTTTACCTGGTTGTTCCTCTGGAGCCAGGAGTGGCTGCTGACCTCCGCTATCGTCCTACTATTAATCACGTCTTCTGGTTGGATCGCTCTCGGCGCCTTTTACATTAGGTAAGCCCATAGGCTTGGAACTGTTCATCTCAAGTTGGAATGGGGGAAGTCATGGTCGTGAGAGTCGAGGTGCAGAACTACAGCTTTTTTGAAATATTAGTCCATAGTTTTACTTTACAGACCGATGATTTGTGCACAAGTACTGGAGCATGGAGAGAGTATAATATTCGCACTTCCTGCCTGCACTCAAGTCGTTTACTTAGACGATATAAATTGCATGTTTGAATACAGTTTCCTTGAGAAGTATTAGTACCCGAAAAACTATTCTTCCATGCACTTTTTGCTTTTCCCAAATTTTGCCTTTATTGACCATGCAGAAATCTTGGTGTTGCCCTCCGCTGGAACTATAACTAATAACCTCTAAATAGCAGACTACCTCACTATCCACTTTCCGCTTTGCAGTGCGCTTTTACGAAAGCGTATTTTAAATTGCTGAGCGTATACGTCTGGTTCAAGACAGTTCATCGGCTGTAAAAAGCCTTCCAAAAAATATTATTGCTAAGTTGATTAGAGCACGAAAGGTTATCTTCCTTCGAATTTCTGACGTTTTACTGTTTGTACATGAATGGAACATCTATTCAAGGTTTCTGGAAAGCAAATCCATGTAACAACCGTCGACTTTCGCGTGTGTCTTTCCGCCCCTAAGAAACATGCCCATGTCTTTATTTTTAACTTGACCCCATCGGCCCAGTTCGAGTCCTTGCCCATCCTGAAACCCTAACGCCAACCGAACTTCGTGACCAGGTAGCGTTGTCCGATAGCGTTGAGGACTTATACCATGAATATAAAAATATTTACAGTGCAAGGTTTCCTAATCGATCGAATGCTGTCCCTTACCATTCAAATGGGACCAACTGTTCAAATTTCAAAAAGGAATAATTGAAGTTGTAATATCCGCGAGTCAAATCAATAATATATAATGGGTCCAATCAGCAGCAACTCCCTATTTACCTACGGTACAATTTTCATAAAGTTTCATCACCCAGCGTTCAAATGAGGCGTCTCGTTCGAATTTGAAGCATACAATGTATTGGATGAAAATTTTAGATGAAAAATCGGATCGTCATGAGAGACCACGAGTCATGAAGCTAAGAGATCTCCAGGGACTGCTGGACAACGCCATCGAGTCACGAAATTCGCTTGACTTTAGGGTTTCAGGATGGGCAAGGACTCGAACTGGGCCGATGGGGTCGAGTTAAAAAAAGGCATGGGCAGGCATCTAAGGGGCGGAAAGACACGCGCGAAAGTCGACTGTTGCTACACGGATTTGCTTCCCAGAAACCTTGCACATTAAACGTGTCCTCAGAAAATATATTCTGAGTAAGAAACTCCATCCTGGATTTTCTCTTTCATAGTGCGCAGGAGGTCGGTCGAGACCTGCGCGAAGAAGGGAAATGGGACCTGGCATTCATTAGATACATCGTCTTCAACGGGCTGGAAACCTACAACGCTTGGACCTCCATCGCCTTCCTGGTGAACTTGAGCATCGTGATGACTCACGTGTTTGGGAAGAGTCTGGAGGCCAGCGCCAACATTCCTTTGAGTCTTCTCGTGGTCGTCCTTGCTCTTTGGGTTCCGTTTGAGGCTACTGCCTTCGACGAATACGGTCGATACGGATTCATGCAGTATTTTGGTAAGCCTTTTCCGTCCTTATGCAAGAAACTGAGCAAATAAAAGATATTTTTAATTATCGCTAACTGCACTTGGAACCTCATCGCTCCAAGTCGATCTTCCTCAGGAAGTACTAGTGGGCCATCATCTCCAACCTTCAATGAATTGCGATGGATCCGCGGACATATTTTGTTTCACTGAGTCTAGTATTAAAAATACTGCGGAGTCTTCGTTCGCACCATCGCCTTCAGTTGACTCTCTCGATCCTCTTTCTCCACAGTGTTGACCTTCGCCCTGATAGGAATCTATTCAGGCGACAACGAGAGACCTTTGGGCGTGACGATGTACATCGTGATCATTATGACCCTTTCTGCAGTCCTGGCCGTTGGTCGCATCGCCTTCATCAAGACTCGGAACCGCAGCCATCCCCAATACGCCCAACTCTGAGAGGTTTTCATTCATTTATTCAGATTTGCTTCATGTCACCAAGTGAATATTATCAATGAATCAATTTTTCAAATGACTTGCTCTTCAGGAAGTTCTTGATTTCTCAAGCCTTCCAGCCACTTCCTCATATACGAGTATACCCAACGTTCATCCATTATTAAATGTATGCGATCGTGCTAAGCTGGACAAGCTCCATAGCACGTGAAGAAAGGTAGTTTCAGGGCTACATAATATATTCTCATGCACATGGTATGTACCTTAAAACCGAGTGATTCCCTGACATTGGGTTTTCAGCAAGACCCAAGTATTAGCTGCAATCACGTATCCCCGATGCTACTCATAGGAAGCAACGGAGGCGAATTTTCATGTTTTCGTGACCTGATGTTATCATACGTAACAACAAACCCTCAAATATTGTTAAATGCATCCAGCCCTTCCTATTCATGAAAGCAAAGGACAATTATTGCGAGAGGTAAATGCGAATCTTCGTGGTCTTTCAACTTTTTTTGGCGTCGATGCGTAGACTATTTGTCTTCAGCAGACGCGAGAGACTAGAACGAAGGAAATCCAGCAGCCAATTTTCAAGAAGTAAAATTTGTAACACCGAACCTGGAAGTCTTCGATTCCTTAAATTAACACTTAAAATAGACCATGCTTCAACGTTCCACGAACTTCCTTGGGAACGTTATTTGACTGTTCAATTGTCCAAAATTTAAGTTTCCCTCCATCAGATCGGAGGCACAACCTTCTCTCGTCCACGAGGACAGTACTCTCATGACTTTGTGCAAATTTAAATTCTCTCTTCCAAGATGCGGAACTGGTCCTGACATTTCCATGAAAATCAAGAAATATATTCAAACATTTTTAGTTCAAGTCACTGCTAGATGGATATCACAGAATGTCTCTCTTTAATGCTCAACAAATATCAACCAAGACGTCATTTTTAGGTGGTCAAACGGCACCTCGACTGAGTGCCCTGCTCATCCGTGAACATTGAACGGCCCAGAACCCATTTGAAAACAGGTCGAACGTCCTCGAGAACGTTCATGTGTTACTTGGGTACACATGTCCCCCCGCTGATCAAATTTGTGTCCTGACAAGAAGAGGAATGAGACAGGGTCATATTGATGTGAGACGGGAGCTAATAAGGACCGGACTCCCGGCTTCCGTTCGGGCGAACACCTTCTCTCTTTGCCTACTCTGCCGAGTTTTCATTTTTGAGAAAGGTAGATTAAACTTGGCGGTTGCTGCTGATGAAGTCGGAACAGACGGCGATGAGACACTGGACCGAGAAGATCAAGGTAGCCAGAACGCCGAGAATGATGGGGATTGATGACAGTATTAAGTTCCCACCAGAGAGCTATCTTATTTTCAGAGTTGCAATTGTACCAATTTTACTTTCACATCCATTGACTTCCGCTTTTTCACTTTTTTTCGCTTTCACTTCCTGTACGACAGAAAGTGAAAGTTAATGATACATTGGAAAATTGTTCCCTTTCTGTGAATGTGCGCGAAGACAGCAAACATGTACATGTCAGAAATCCCTAACTGTTGCGTACTGAACATTCTGTCGTTATTCGCCTCATAGATATCAGATCATATGATTCTGATATACGAAAAGAATGAATGGCTTCGTCACTTGTGCAAAAAAAAAATCGTTTCAAAAAAGAAGACATGCAGCAAGACCAAGAAATCCAGACGCCCATACAGGGAAAACGGAAGAAGTTTCATTCGATCCTCGAACGGTGGAAGCCGCACTTGCACGAGTCTACTCAGTCTGCCAATAGGACCAGTTCTCCGAGGTTTCGAAGCGCTGTATAGAAACCAAAAGCTAGTAACTTCGACGATGGGCGAAGGAGTGGAATATAAATTCCTTCCATCGGGTTTCATTTCGCGCACAGTCCGCAGCGCCGCCAATATTAATGGAAATTCGAATTCTCTATTAATCGACTCATTCGACCGCTTCAAACAGGCTCGAAAGTTCAGCGAACTTTCACCAAAGCATTTCGAAATCGGCATGGGTTTTGCGAGCCAAATTTCTTTCGGATTGCGACTTCGGATTTCATTTTTTCCGGTTGTGCCGATTTGGACTTATATCGGCGCCATGAGTCGGTCTCTTTCGTCTCAGAGATATTGGCACGTCCCGCGTCCGTTTCACCCCATTTCAGCTCACTTCGGACCAAGACGATCGGAATCTAAAACACGAGTCTTGCCATCTTGCCCCTGCAATCCATTAGAAACCGTTGAAATCTCGGAGCAGAGAATCCCAAACTTCAATCGAATAATTTATTTCCATTAAAAACGTCCAATCCCCCCCCCCCTTGTGGATTTGGTACCAGGTAGACGTCCCCCTTGGCGCTATTTTCACCTGTTCGAGCGATGTCCACTCGGGGAAAAATCCACTTGGCTGGAAATACATGGGCGCGAATGAAAAGGTGAATTTCCATCGGGGGGGGGGGGTCGTCCACCTGGTTCCAAATCCACCCCCTATCCACCTGGGTTGTTTGACCAGGTGGATAGGGGTAGACTTTTTTTGAGGAATTTAAATAAATTTTCTCTGCATTTAGTTTCGTTTTTTTCCTTCAGTTTTAGTTTGTATTTAGTTTGCATTTTGTCTGTCCCTCGCCGTCCCGACGCACGGTTTCCATTTCACCTTCATTTTGCCAGATTGCACGTCTTCAACCAAATTTTGCTGGAGCAACTTGACACCATGGGCAATTTTAAAAAAAAGATCGATCGCAAAAAGACGAGAGAAACGAGAAAGGCGAAACGTTGAGTCCCTAATGGAATCTTCAATAAATTCAACAAGTTCAAAAAAATTATTTTTCATCCGGAGCAACTTCGTCCTTCCCCCGGAAATTTCCTTTTTTTTCGTTTCGAAGTTCGTTTTGGACGCATCAGCCTGAGAGAACATTTTCGCGAGGAATCCCGTTGCTCAGTGGTGAATGCCGTTTCCTGATAAGTTGTTTCCAAGTAATTATTCTAATTATTCAATGGGCCTTCTTTCGCTTCCATTTTTGAGTCCAGCATAACGCTTCGTGGTGAGGCTTAAATAAATACCAGCGACATCCCAAATTGCAGTTTTATTTCATCATCAGTCAGAATTGGGAATACATAATAAATAATAATAATATAAGTAACAAAATAAATAAGTGGATCTCTCGAAATAACGCATCTGGATGACAATTGGGGCGAGAGGGATGCGGGTTAACCGATTGGGTTGTGATGGGTCGAGATCGAGCGGATTCGTGTGGATGCACGCCGTGCTGGCCCGGTGCGAGTCGACACCTGCGGCAGGTGCTTCAGCCGGTGGAGGAGATCGTGCGATGAAATGGATCGCGACAGGCCGGTTTTCGTCCGTTTCATCGGATCCTTTTTGATTCGGGGGAAGGGGGTATCCACTTTGCTGGCTGCGGCTGTCTCCACAGACGGATGCGTGATGCGAGGACGGGGGAGGACAGCCTTCCTTAGTCCCGCAGTGACTTCCTTAACCGGCTTCCTTAGTCCCTGCTGTGATTTCCCTAACCGGCTTTACTAGTCCCTGCCCAGAGATTCACTATCTTCCCGTTATTATGAAATAATTTACAAAATGAACGGATTGATGCAGTGAAACTTGCCTGAAACAGAAACTCTGGGTATCACGGAAATATTTTTAAATAGTCTCGTTATTAGACTCGCTATTCGTCTCACCCAGGTTCAGGTTCAGGTAGGTTTGCCGTGCAATAACTTGTTTTATTCGAAAAAAAAACAGCTTATTTGGGAAGAATCAGCGAAAACAGCGCGATTTTTGAGGTCAATCAAGCTCTAGCATCCCTTACGGGAAAATCACACGTGTGATTTAAAAACAAATAACGTGATTACTCATACCCAACCATGCGATTTTGAGGCAGTGTGACCCAGTCATATGTGAGCATGTCACAGGGTGACGAATTACACATGAGCATTTCGCAGGGCGGACGTATCGCGAGAGTAATCACTCCATGGGAATGTGTCACGTGATCTGTCACCCTCTGAGTGCTTTAATGAATGGGTCAGTCAAGCCAACATGATATATTAAAGAATGAGAAATCACATTCTCTCTGGAACGAATTTTTTTTTAAGTTAAAGTATTAATTTCAAAAATCTCATATTGAACCATTTTCCACCACCACACAAAAAAAAATTTACACATTCTATTTGCTTGGCTTGAACATCATGCCCCGACACCCCCCGTCTAAACAAAGAGAAGGGGATGTCGGGGCATGTCGCAGCATGCGGCGAAAAGAGACCTGCACGATCGTTTAGAGGCGCTTGCAGTCACGCGATGATTTACGAGAAGTCCTTTCTCCCGATTATAATTAATTCTATCAGGCAAACAACATGCAAAGAAATATTGCATGAGAGAATATTCCCATATTCCTTTCCCTTTCGCTTCGTCCATTCACGGTTTTCAGTAATGGTATGAAAAACATGGTATATATCTGTAAGGGAAGGTTGGAGGATATCGCTGTGAGGCGAGGTCAAGGAACTTCAGCAGAAGTATCTGTTGTTAAACGCATTCCTTGTATTCTATTCCCAACAGAACCCTCATACCTTACTCCAAAATTCACACGAACTGTTTCCATTCCTGATGTCTGTGAGGCTGCCATGTCAGATTCGTATTTTTCCGAAAGGGAAACTCAGTTTTCCAGGGAAAGAAAAACACTCGAAATTTCACTTAGGCACCGACGACAAGTTCACGATAGTTGACATTTCATGATCGAAAAAAATTATTATCCAGTCCTACACAAAATCTCAATTTTTTTATGCGTTGAAGCAAACTCAATTTAAATCACATGTTCGTAGGCCAACACCATTGCAGTTGTCAAGAAAAACCACTTAGTTGAAATCACATCGCCATGCCAATTATCTGTCACTGCCCTGCAATCGACAACTTGGTCGAATGAATTCCCTATCATCTGCATCACTCACTGCTCGCATGTGGCTCAGTGGCCACGGAAACAAGTCACACACTCGCTCACCCTAACGTGATCACGTGCCACTCACATGTGACGTAGCATGTGGCTTGGTGCGATTTTTCCGCAAGGGTTTTTCCGCTCAGTAGTAGAACTCGTCGAAGGACACCTAGACCTATCGCACGAAGATACAGCTGGAATGCAACGCAGGTTACGAGGCCTCCCACCCGAGAGCGAGTGAAGACAAACATACTTCACATTGCTTATCTCGCATGCGGGCAGCATCGGGGAAACTGCGCGATAAGGCATCCGCGCCTCGCACTGTGCTTTCCTTTATGACACAAGCATGGAGGCGTTTCGATTCGTTGTGATCCTTCTCTTCTTTGCCTGCTATGTCGTCACCGTCGTGCTCAATGCCTTGGCTAGCACCGGTAGGTTCCAGTTTAAATTCAAGTTTTTCAACGACGAGAGTCGCCTGTGAGCGAGACTCACCGTTCAGGCTTGAAGTCAAACCCATACGGTGCCATCTTTTTTTTTTGCATGCAATATTTAAAATACATAAAATAAAATGAAATCATTTTCTATGGGAGGATGATACAGACCCGTAGCCCCTCGTAGCGTAATGTAGATGCCCAACAACGAAGTCATATAAACAACCGGCATCGGAAGGTCACGAGACGCCGAGATGATTATATTTCCGCTATAACCTTCATCTGAGTCATGCAAATTTCACATTTCTCTCGTCAGAGGGCAGATGCAGATGATTCCTGTCTCAATGACTTTTCAGTCGGCTTTATGAGAAGTCTAACTTTCCTTTCGTCTCCTCCAAGGACTATTACTGGCAGTAATCGAACTTGACCGAATTATGACCCTGCATGACGCCAACAGTTTCCAAGGACAGCCAAATTTTTGCATGGATTTTGCACGATCAGCTTGCTAGTTCAGCATTCGATCGTTACTTTCTATGAAATCGTTATGAATTCGTATTTGAACCAGCAGAGACCTTACATATGTAGGGCTCAGAACAATTTTACACCGCTCTCTGTTTTCGGTTTCTCAGTTTAGGTTCACTCCTAAATATCCCGAGCATTGTTGTTGGTTTTTCAGATGATTTTCTCCGGAAAATTCATGAAATGGAATTGAGGGGTTACATGTGCATTATTCTTTTCACAGGTAAACTATTCGAGAACACACCGTCCAAAGTGTCGAGCAAATACAGTACCTACCTGACACCGGTAGGATGGACGTTTTCCATCTGGATCGTCATCTACGTCTGGCTCGGCCTCATCCTTGTCTACGGTACGCGAATGAAAGGCGACAGGGTGAACAAGGATGTATCCGCATCTGATTTGGGATTTTCTTCCAGTTCTTTCGCTGATATGGAGGAAGAGTGCAGGGGAGCGGCTGTTCGAGACGTCGCCCATCGCTGATCCCCTCCCCTTGCTGTTCCTCTGCCTCAACTTAATACTAAACTTCACCTGGTTGTTCCTTTGGAGCCAGGAGTGGCTGGTGGCGTCCGCTATCGTCCTATTCCTCATCACGGCTTCTGGTTGGATCGCTCTCGTCATCTTCTATGTCCGGTATGTCGACGCGTTCGAATTGCTGATCAAAGAGTAAGGTTATGAAAGAAGTGATGGTCATGGTAATTATGGTGCTTACCCCGAGGATCTTAGCGCTTCCAGGCTGCAGGTTATGTCGCTTTTGGGTCAGCACTCCGTGTTTAAAACACTCTAGTGCGCATACACTTTTTTGCCTGAAGTACTTGTCCTTTGCATAGAGTACATCGGGTGTGAGTACATTTTCCTTTCCGAAGGTTTTGTAGGTACTTGAACAAGGAAGTGGACTGGAAGCCCTGAGGCTTAAATTTTCCCTTTTCTTTCGATTTTGCCGATGATGATTAAGCAGAAATATCACTTTACCTCTGGGCCTGCAACGTTGATTCAATCGTTAATACAAAGAGTCAGTGTCGCCATCCACTCTAAGTTTTGCATTTAATTTCTTCCAAAAGTATGAGTCGTTGTGTAAATTTTAATTATAACTATGTATGCAATGGAGGCAAAGGTTTCTCTGAATAACCAATATAGCCAATCCCTAAACGGAACTCATTTCCTTATGGCGCTAGGCACTATGTAAATAGTAGGCTAGACTGAACAATATTCGTATTTAGCATTTGAAGATGAGAGCATGTACTTTAAAATATATATTTATTATAATATGTAAATACAGAGAGGAAGGATTTCCACTTGGCACTAAAGTACTTTATAGATCCTACTTTCGAACGCAGTCAGGAGCTCTATTCCTCTTTTTTTCCGCAGTGTGCACGAGGTCGCTCGAGACCTTCTCGAAGAAGGGAAATGGAACATGGCCTTCATCAGATACATCGTCTTCAACGGGCTGGAAACCTACAACGCTTGGACCTCCATCGCCTTCCTGGTGAACTTGAGCGTCGTACTGGCCCACGTGTCCGGGAAGAGTCTGGAGTCCAGCGCCAACATTCCTTTGAGTCTTCTCGTGGGGGTCCTTGCTCTTTGGGTCCCGTTTGAGGCCACTGCCTTCGACAAATACGGTCGATACGGATTCATGCACTATTTTGGTGAGCGTCCAACGCTCAAGCGTCCAACTGCCATAGCTGAAGGGGTTCAGCTATGGCAGAACTTAGTGGATAATGTCAACCTAGAACATGGCTTATGCAGCTTATTGCTATGGTATTAATATTCCCTAAGTTAATTGTGCGACTTCATCTCAATGCCCACCTCACAACGCATTATCCCTATGGTATTTTCTTGGAGACTTCCTTGAATTTTGACTGCATTTGGTACTTTTAGACGTCTGAGGTCTGAAGTCATTCTGATGATCTCTGTTTTCTCTTTCTTCTGCTCCGTTTTTTTTTTCCATTTAAAATCGCATTTTTCTCATCAACAGTGCTGACCTTCGCCATGTCGGGGATCTACTCGAACGAGGAACCAAGGTCTCGGGGCGTGAACACGTACATCGTCGTCCTCATGGCCCTCTTCGCGTTCCTGATCTTGTGCCGCTCCGCCTTCATCGCGCATCGCAATAGCCATCGCCCACAATACATTCCCCTCTGAGAGATTTCTTGGATTTTTTAAAATTCAGTTTTATTGGCATTAATGTGACTATTTGTGATAATTGTTCGAATTTAATATGGGGAAAATATTTGTTCTGTGTTCGAGGTACTTAATCCGTATTTGTGCATTTTTTTACGGTTATCCATGATTTCCAAAGATTGATGGTTGCATTCGCCTATTCAATTTTCATAACGTCGAAAAAAAGAGGGTTGTAATTCCAAGCTGAGCGATTTTTAGGAACCAGATCCTCTGGTTTCAAGAAGACTGAAAATCGCATTTCTGCGACGCATGAAAATGGGATATCATCCAGAGCCGAATGCATCTCAATGATCAGAAGAGGCTGATTTGGCGCAGCGTGGACGATTGATGCGCTTCCACATTGAGATTTGCTCTTACCAAAATTCATGGTCATCCTGTGTCTTCGTCAATTTCCTCATGCCAGAAAGTGCAATTTACTTCATTCGAGGGAAGCGCGAGGGGCCCAGCTGGGCCCAGCTGACGAAATGCACCAGCCCCCTGCATGGTCATGCTCAGAGGCGAAGGGCGCGAGTTAAAAAAAAAAAAAAAGCTGCGGGATGAAGCGGAAGATCGGCAAAGTCACGCGACGTCACATTGTATAAGGGATTGTCAACCTCCAAAACGCCACACTGACTCCGTTAGCGAAAGCCTTGAACGACTGCAAGTCGATCACTGTCGTTGAGCCAACTCTGAAATCTGGAGACACTTCAGATTCACTATAGGTAGAAGGTGTCGAAGTTGCCCACAACTGCATTTCCCACCATTTGCACTACAATGGTCACACTTCAGATGTCACTGGGACTCAGGCACAACGTGGAATCAGTTTTCTTTCAGGCATCAAATCTTAACATCTGCAAAGGCTTAACGAAGAACCAGTCAGGTCCTGAAACGCCTCTTTGGTTTCTCATCACCTGCCGCTGGAGCCAGGAGAGCCACAAAGAGTGGCACCAAGCAAGCCACCAAGCGAACCCACTCACCAAGTCAAATTGTTTGGTCCTAGATCCTGCCCCTCCCTATCCAATGTACGGTTCCATCGGCCCGGCTAATCCTCAGTGCGAGGCCTACCATGACGTTACTCGGTTGCGAAGCAACCGAGGTTAGGAGGTTAAACATATATACCGTGCGCGATTCCGCCCGCTAGCTAGGCCGAGCGACGATTGCTTCTTTTTTTGTTTCTTTGTGTGTGTGTGTGTGTGTGTGTGTGACAGCTCTAAGGGCCAAACGCTTAGAGATATGAAATTGGGGTTTCGACAGAACTGTTCCTTACCCCTTTGAAAAATGAAATTTACAAATCGGCCATAAGAAAGGGAGGGTAGGCAATTTTCTTTGGAAATCGAATATTAGCTCTCGTCTCGCCATCTTTCGGATGGAGTTGGAAACGAGAATAGCCGTGGTTCCCGAAAGGAAACGCTGCCAGTTCACTACTGGCAGGAGGTACTGCAGCTCACTGCAGTACCTCCCGCCTACTGCCGTGAATCCAGGGTTTTCTAGGGTCAATGAGGAAATACGGGGCGATTCCTCAGCTCGTCACCACTTGGGTTCACATGGGCTTTGGCAAAGAAACCCATCCCCCTAATTTCCTCGTTGGTTTCCATGGCTCTAAATGCAGATGTGCGGAATTGCACGAACAACGCAAGGCGGTCGGCGAGAGTGAGAGTTTTTCAAAGGATTAGATTGTTTTCCCGTATCGCAGTCGCATCGGTAGATGGCAAAAAATACAGGTGTACTGTTTGGCAGCCGGGATCTTGCAAAAAAAAAAAACAAACAAAAAAAACAAGAAGACAGTGATTTGCGGATCGTCGCTGTGCTGTGTTGCATGTTACTTTCTTTTGCTTCGCATCCACTTCCCTCGCTCCATTCACATGATCGAATGCCGAGGAAAATCAGGAGTCCAATGAAACCTCTAGGCTTTATATACATGACACCGACTAAGAAGCACATAAACGCTTTCGAGAACGTTCAACGTGTTATCAGAGAGGTCTTTGGACGTCCAATGTACAATAATGAGCGAAACATGCTGCATTTGAAGGACATTTGTCGCACGTTTAAGATGCTTTCCTAATGCACATCAACGATATCCATCTGACAATGGCTTGAAGTCAAGGTTTGCACCATCGACGCTAGATGACGCCAATGTAGTCCCTAAAACGTGTCATTTCTTGATATATCAGGATTCATTCCCTTATACCTTCCAAGAGGAAGCCGATCTCTCTCCACATAAACCAGAGCGGAAGAAACTTGAATTCTTGAACAAATCGGTATTTGGAGGTAACCCATTCCAAAGAGTCTCCAGAGAACTCTGGTTCGAGAAGCAGTGGGAGGATGGTTCAATTTCCAAAGTGACTTCATAGTCTAACCTGATATCTTTCATGCGAAGGGTTTTAAATGGAGAGGATGTCTGGCTCCTGAATGTAAGGTAGCTGTTGATAGGATGAAAAATTTTGTGGGAAGGCTGAATTGTCCCACGCTTCTCCTCCAGAGTATCCCAATGTGAGATAGTACCTTCCATCCTACTTATCGGCTACATTATGGTTTCCAACCCCAGCCATGGGGGCGGGGCTCCATTTAGACTGAATGCATTTTATGAGATGAAAAGAACGTAGCCAAAACGTTAATTGCATATCGGATGAATCCTAAAAAAAAGTTTTATTGAACACTTTCCCTGGAAACATCACATTCATGTACTTCAGGGAACGCATAATACGAACTGTTTTTCATTGTTTTATATTTGAAAATTTAAGCAGTCATTAGAACGTTCCCTAGGACGTTAAAGGAACGCTGGTAATAACTTGAATGAAACGTTCATTGAATACGTTTGGGTGCTACTGGGGTGGTAGTCTCTGAAGATCATGGTGATTCCTTCCACGACAGAACATTTCATTTCCTCCGGTTTTCGGCAGGTTTACCTGCCACTAGTACTATTTAAAAAAAAAATAACAAGAACCTCACTTTGAAGACATCACCGTTACGGTGATTTTTTTTCATTGCAAAACAGAAATCAATTTTCGAGTCATCGACCGTCATTGACTCTAAAGTCAGCCTCACTCCCTCCCCCCCTCACCCCGTCTTTTTTTATTCCTCGAATGGGAACTCTGCTCCTAATACGAAAAACACTTCTCGCCAAGAAATTTCATTTCAAAAACAGTCAATCGAATAATTCGCAGATGTTCATCACTGATGCATCAGAAAAAGAATTGTTGGCACTTGGTATTACACGTCGATGGGGGGTGAGGGGGGGGGGGTATTCAGGTGGTATTGATGATCCTCTAAAGGTCCTACACTCTAATAAGGGTAATGAGGATTACTCAGTCATGATTCGAGAGTAAATCCAAGATGTAGTGGTTCAGCAATGCCATTTAATAATAACATTACTTCCTTTACGGAACCATCAAATGCAATCGTACGTACGGGATACATTTGGACATTTTTCACTATATATGCGCTAAATTTGACTGGAAGGAGTTGTAGGACTTTTTATGACTAAAAAACTATGTACTTATGCAATTTACAGGGTTGTTATGAAGTCATCTCTTCACTCGCCGATCGCCAGTAACATTTCAAAATGACTGTCGGATGCAACTGATATTCCCATTTCAACAGTGATCCAACGTGTGCTGAGCAAAAAACGTCAGGACCGCTCGAAGAGGCGAAGTTAAGCGTGATGGCCGATGGCCTTCTCGACATGCAGCTTTCATCAAGGAGCCATATATTCTCGGCTGTTCCCCCTCCCCCCCCCCCTCCCAAACCATTTTTCTCTCGGGGGAAGAGGGAGGGGGGAACAGCCTGGAGACCTCCAAATGAATTCTCACTCTTATTCCTTTCAGCAGGGGCGCCACGTCCAGGCCCGAGCGCCCACACGCGGGAAAACCGCAAAAGAAGAAAACGAGAGACGACAAGACAACAGAAAATCCCTGAATTTCGAGTGGCCTCCGACACTGCACTAGGATTGCATTAGGCATATCACTAGACATTCCACTAGACACTTCACATTAAACCGGATGCAGGGCGTATGGCATCATCCGGCTCAATTTCAGGCCAATTCAATTCGAGGCGATGGCTGTCTTTCTACAAGGTCCGATTCGTCTCCATTTTTTTTTACTAGAATTTTTATTTTCGTTTTTGCAAGAATTATCATTCGAGAGGCTTCTCGGCGATTACTATTTATTGTCAGTCTTCGATCATCAATATCTTATACACTTGACAGCTCTTTTTCTCTGAAGGTCTTCTTATGTCTAACTTAAGTGACTTAAGTCATACCGAGTCATATCCATGAAAGGTCAAACTGCGATCGCGCGATTCCAATCCGACGAAGGGGAAAAATGACTCATTCCTCGTTCGGCTGGCACTTCATCTGACCGCCGCGATCAGACAAATATTTGTCATCGCCGGACAAATATATCCGAGGCGTCATTCTTTTCACGCCCAGCCGCCGTGAAAACTGCGAGATAACTTATCACCAGACGAGTATCAGGGTAAACGCTCGAGATTTCTATATTACGGCACTTGGAGCGAGTTCCCGGTTTTCCCTCGCGGAGCGGAGACCGGGTTTCTATTTGCTGCTGGTGAAAATCGGTACAATCATTGTGAGGCGGGGATGGGATTAAATATAATTAGACGGGTGGAAAAGTGTCAATATGGATCATATGGCGTATTTTCGCCTGAGAGGGGGGAGAGGGGGAAGGGGGGCAAAGGGGGGGGGGG